GCGGCTACAAATTCAAGCCACGTGCGAGGTAGAAACCTCATGAAATTACTGAAGTGTGTTTGGATTGGTGAATTATTTTACATAATATTTTGTTTGTATCATATATATAATTTTTAATTATTTTTTTATGTCATGTTATATCATAAAAAATATTATAATAATTATTTTAAATAATATTTTATTCAAATCCACTCGGGGAAAGCTCCGCCATTTTTTTGGTAATAATGATTTTAAATCTCACTGCGGTGACTTTTGGTAACATGTTATAGATATTGTCTTAGCGACCCTCAAGGCTGAATGTGGATTAGCTGGACGCTTATCAAATTATATTGTCATAGTTCGAGTAGATTAGCAGAAAAAAAAGAGAGAGAGAGAGAGAATCAGGAACCTGAATATCTTATTCATTTTAGTCAAAGGGAATACGTCTATGCTTTTTGGAAGCCAAATTTGACGCTCCTGGTTGAAATAGTGAAAGAATGGACTTCTGATTTGGTCTTTCTCTCTCCTCTTTACTAACACCAGTCTTTTTTAATTTGTTTATCTATTTTTTGGGTAATTTAGTCATTACAATTTGCTGCTTTTTAGTTCACTTAGTTAGATCTTTTGATTATTGGAGTATGTTCTGAATTGTTACTCATAATTTTTTCTTTGAAGCAAAAATTTGAAACTAAAACTACTAGGAAAAATAGAAAACACGAATTTCTACTCTCAGGAAAGTCAAGCGAGAAAGAATGACGAAAAGAAACATATCACCATACCTGGATGATAGTGCTTCATTTCTTGAAATGGATGATCATTTGTGGTATTAAATATTTAGTAAGTCCAAAAGAGTTTGCTGATCAAGTGGTTGAGGAAAATCTAAGAAATAGACTAGTGAAGCCACAAAAATTGGTGAGAAAATATTCGCAACAAAGAATAGACTTACATGCATGAATAAAATAACTTTGTCAACGTACCTAATCATACAAGAATAGAATAAAACAATTTTGCATGAGATGTTCTTCACATTACGTGTCACAAGAATGAAAAATAAACAAAATTATCCTTTGTCGTTGCAAACTAGAAGCAAATCTCAAAGTCTGTACAGTTTAAAAGTAGGGGATGTATATCTATAAAGTCAAAGCAAAATATTTATTAATTCAAATAAAATATCTATTATTACAAATCTCTATCCTGTATATTGTCATATATTTTAATATTATAATACTTTTTGTGATGTAATATGTGAAAGAAAAAAGGTAGTTTAAAAGATAAAAATGTGATTAAAAACATATTTATAATGGTACTAAAATTTTTCTTATCCCATATCTAAACAAGCCCATTGTGTGCTATAATGGACTACAATTTGAAACAGACGAAAAAGGAAAACAAGACTATCAAAGTGGGACGGAGGGAGTGCATGGTACCTTCAACTTTATTAGATTTTTTGAGTATTTTGAACATGCATTGTTAAGTAATTGTCAATATCAACTAAATGAAAGAAAGACAAAAATAAGAAGTCCCATCTCGCACGTAATTGTCAATATCAACTAAATGAAAGAAGGAAGAATAAGAAGTGGAAACAAATAAGGTGGAAAGAAGTCCATCTGCCGTGTAATAGTTCGAATCATTTACAAAAAAAAAAAAAAAAAAAGAAAAAAAAAGAAGAAGTTCTGACTGTTTCTTTCTCGTGTGGATAGTGAACTGTTTATTAGTTCATCACCTTACCACATTCTCATCAAATGCAGTGGATTTTTATTGCTTTAAAAATAACTCATTTTATCTACTCCTAAACTATACTATAAATAGACCTAAAAAAGGACATCAACAAATCCAAGATCGACTAAGATAGGAGATAAGTAAAGAAAAGAGAAGAAATTAAATCAATCATTAATTGATTTACCTAATTGGAAAAGCAATTTATGATAAATTACTCGCTATATATACACGTGCAATGCGTGTGCATTTTCCTAGTTTGATCACTATAAAGAATAAGGATTTGGCTCATCTCCACTAAATTCTATCTTCATTTTTCATAATACACATCTAGATGCATAACATGTGTTTTTATTTATTAACAAATCTTAAAATTAGTCAAACTTGAAATGATCTTGTCCCCTTTTAATAAATAAAGACACATGTGATTCATTCATATGTGCATTATAGGAAATGGAAAGATAATTTATTAGAGAAGAGCCAAATTATTTGTGAATATTATTTTAATAATAAAACACTAGAAAATTTGGTGGTCATTCAAGTTTTCAAGTCTCAAAAACTTGGAAAGTAAGATAAGAAGGTAAACTTGCAAATCATATATATACATATAATAAAGTCGTATTCTCATTCTTATCGATTCATGTTTTCTTTTTCTTACGTGGCTTAACGAGACGGCAAGTAGTTTTCTACGTGGCTTGCTCTTTTTTTGTTTGGATTTATATCAATTCTTATTTCCTATATTATATGATTAGTTTGATAAGATATATCAATTCTTAGTCGGATAAGAATTGTTAGTCCGATAAGATATATCAATCATACTAAGATATATCAATTCTTAGTCCGATAAGAATTGTTATCACTACAAGAAGTAGAAAAGTAACTAATTTCAATTAATAAATCATCTTTTCTTCAAAAAAATAGTTATTTGGACGATTGTGGTTTTATTTCCTATAACAATTCTTAATATTTTTTAATCAAATTTTCACCTCATATATATAAATTTTCATGGGTTTTGTTGTCTAGAATTTTTGTAATGAAATTGTTTTCAGCGAGCCAAAAGATTTCTTTTTTAAAAAAATATGTTCATCTTCAGATGTAAGAATTTTATGGAAGTAAATGCTATTGTTGATTACGTCCCATGTTGTTCTTAAATTTTTAATAATCAATTGACTAAGATATTTCTTCACGAAATTTGTGTCTTTAACTATTATTACTGTTAGTTACTTTAGTTGAATTTTTTTTTGTTATGCCTGACACTACTGTTAAATATTCATATTATAAGCATTTGGCCTATGCCTCTTGAGTGATCATGAACTCAACGGGAAAAATTTATTTTGGTTCCTTTTGCGAAATTTATGTATGTTGATGTTCAAGGGTCAACGCAATAAGATTCTCATGGGCATAATATATAGTCAACTAAGTCTACAAATGCAATTTACTATAAAATTATTACCCACTTTAATACATCAATTACCATAAATAGTGTGGCTAATTAAATCCTGATTTGCTATCATGCAGTGATAATGGAAAATCAATAAATGCCGAGTTGCACGGACAAATCGAGGAGAATTTTCAAACAGAAGAAAAACAAAACAAGTTTTTGAAGAGTATAATATTATTTAATACTATTTACTGCACTTTTTATTTATTTTCAAGTTTTTGAATGTTATTTTTTCCATTTTTGAATTATTATTCACTGAATTAGATGTTCAAATTTATATTATAAGAATATTTTATATTACAATGCGCACATAGTAATATACTTAAGACAAGTTATAATAGATTATACATTAAATTTGTATTTTATATTGACATTTTTATAAAATTGACTAAATAGTTTATTTTTTTCGACGATTCCCGTTCAACGAATGGGTACAAAACTAGTTTGAATATAAAATTGGTAAATTTAGCTAGAAAAAAAAACACTTTAAAAGTACTTTTATCACCTAAAAGTACTCTTTTACCAAAAGTAATGCAACTCCAAATGGTGCCTAAATATCTAACGAAATTACCTCTTGATTGCAAAAATGGTAATTTTACTACCAAAAAAAATGAAAGTTACCAATTCTTTTTTTTTTCCTAAGGAATTACCATTTCTTTCACTAATTTTACTACCAAAAAAAAAAGTGTCAGATACCATCTTAAACCATCTCCTCTTATTCAAAAAGAAAAATGGATAATTTCAAAAATTTCCCCGAGGTTTCTAACAATGTCACTAGACTCTCCTGAAGTTTTCAAAATTACACAAACCTCCCCTGAGGTTAAGGTTTTGTTAACAAAATTAGTTCAATTAGAAATAGTAATATTAAAAAGGTACTTGAAGGAGAGAGATGAAACTTTTATTTTATAAATACCCCTTATGCATGTATATAAGTTGTATTAGTAAAAAAAAATAATAATTAAAAGTTAGAAACAATTAATACATACATTTCACCACTTAAAAGTTCACATTTAATAAATTAGACAATACAAATAAGCAACAAAACTACACTAATAATCATAAGATTCAAAACGACCTTCTTTCGTTTGTGATCATTAGAGTAGTTTTGTTGCTTATTTGTGTTTTCTAATTTATTAAATGTGAATTTTTTGAGCGGTGAAATATGTATATTGATTATTTCTAACTTTTAATTTATGGAACAAAAATTTCATCTCTCTCCTTAAAGTACTTTTTTAATGTTCCTTTTTTTAATTGGACTAATTTTCTCATCAAAACCTTAACCTCAGGGGAGGTTTGTATAATTTTACAAATTTCAAGGAAGGTTAGTGAAATTATTAGAAAGCTCAAGGGAGGTTTCTCAAAGGGAAAAATGCACTTTTCATCCTCAAAGTTTGGGTTCTTGACCAATTTCACCTCAAAGTTTCACTCAAAACACATTTCATCCTCAAAGATCCGTAATTTTGTCAAATTAAGGACAATTGACGGAAATTTGCATGTGAGCCGTTAGAACCAACTTTAAACCCAACAAAAATGGGTAAAACTGAATGGAGCTATTTTTTTAATGGAACAATAATTTGCAACGGACAAAAACCAACATTCTTTTCCTTCTTCCCTCTCCTTCGTTATGATCCACACACACCGCACTATCCTTCCTTCCTTCCTCTCTTTGCTCTTTCTCTCTCAGAGAGTGAGAGAGAGGGAAGGGGAAATGAGTTTTAGGGATTTTTCCGTTCTTTTCTTTCTCCGCACCTATCTCACCCCTGTCGTTCATGCCTCACGCCTCACGCCTAATGACCCACGACCCTTTCAGTACCCTCATGCCTAATGCTCACGCTATTATCTCTTTTGCTACATTAAAAGCTAGCTAACAAGCTGCAGATGGATTGGTCAAGGAATTAAAGAAGTGTGGTTTTGGGGCCATAGAAAATGGGCTCTTACTGGAAGAGTTTTCACCAACTCTGCCGACCCTTTCGCAAGAAGGGCACATGGTCAGTATAGCCATTGGCAATTGCATGCATGTACAAGGGCTGCGCTAGTTTTAGCGCTTTCAGTTCTTGTAGCTCCTTCTCCAGCCTCCTGTTCTCGTCCGTCAGCGTCTCGTAGCATTTCTTCAAGAACCCGCAGTCTACTTCCGTTTGCTTAAGCTTCGTCCTGCGTATAGCCAAGAAAAAAGCCCCCCTCCATTATTTCAAATAGACAAAATTTATGCATATCTCAAAAAACTGGCTCGCACGATCGATTCTGTTTTTCCTCAACATTGTTAATCTTCGGGAATGAGGGATGAAGAAGCAAGTACCTGGCCCTTCTGTTCTGAAACCACACCTCAACTTGTCGAGGCCTTAAATTCAGTTCCCTCGCCAAATCTTGCTTTTGCTTCTGCAAAATCAGCATATATGTATGTATATACACACGATTTAATTTGCCCTGTGAAATGATTGTTCAAATGTTAAAAAAAAAAGAGCAAGGAATGTTATACTATTACGTGTGAAAATAAATCAACTAGCTAGCCACAGAGAGAGAAAGAGAGAGAAAGAGATGTTATCGGATTGAGAGTGCTATGCTGCTTGAAGCTCTCTTCCAAAAGAGCAGACTGAGCTTTTGTGAGGCAAAGCTTCTTCCTTCCATTAGAACCATCATCATCTTCGTCACTTACTCTTGAGGAAACTGTCTCGATCTCCACCTCTTCGCTGCTACCGAGCTCTCTCTCCCTCTTCACGCTATTGTTGGAAAAGGATGACGCAGCACTATCTTGACGATGCAAGTCAGCAGCAGAAAGTGGAGGCTCATTATTGGAGGCCTTATTAGCAGAGTGATTGGGAGGAAGAAGGAAACATTTGTCTATAGTTGCAGCAGAGTTTGACATCCATTCATTCATGTCGTCAACAGATTTCGCGACCTTAAAGATTTTGTCATCAGATTTGACTCCCATTGCTGTCACAGACGCGTTTACAAGCCTTAAAGAATCCTTGAACAAGACATTGCAGTCTTTCAAAGCTGTCAAAGTTCTTGAATCTTTGACCTCAGAGATTGCCTTTTCATTAGCTGAAATCAAGTCCTCTAGTTGATTGATAGCAGCACGGAGAGAGAGGGTGAAAATTCTTGATGGGGTGGTCTTGATCTCGCCTAAATCGGTGGAGAAATTCATGCGGAGGCACCATATAGAGTCAAAACATGAGGTTGGTTTTGGAGTCAGATTGCAGATGGCACGAATTGCTCTATCTGGAGTTGAAGCGGAGAGTAACTCAGACTCTTTTTCTTGTATGAGAGCTATGGAAACTGTGATGATTGAACCGATGATAACCGTGAATAAGATGATGAAAAAGACGTAGCTCCTTATCTTCCTTTTCTGTCTCGAAGCTTGATCTTCCATCAGCTGCCTATCCTTATTGGTGACTGAGTTCATATTTGATTTCCACACTTTCTTATGGGATTTGTTTGAGAATAAGGAGATGATTCTTGTCGAGTGGGGATATGGAGTGGAAAAGATATAGTAGCTGCTTGATTATCTTCCAAACAGACAAGTATAGATACTGTTCAAGTTTTGTGGAAATAGTCAAGTCAATTCTGGCCTCATCTTTTATAAGTCTCTGAGCCAATGAAACAAGAAGTCAAACTTTGGGAAATTTTTAACCACGATCTAAGACCAACACGCAAGTAATTATGAAAGTGGCTCCATTCTATTTGACCTGTTTTTGGTTGAGTATAGAGTTGGATTTGACAGACCGTGCTTCTCACATGCAAATTTCCGTTCAAATTAAATAGTTGTCCTTAATTTTCCGTCAATTGTCCTTGATTGACCAAAATTGCAGATCTTTGAGGATGAAATGTGTTTTGGGTGAAACTTTGAGGTGATATTGGTCAAGAACCCAATCTTTGAGGATGAAAAGTGCATTTTTCCCGTTTCTCAAATTATCCCAAAGAAAAAACAAAAGAGAATCCTCCACGGCTGCTGCAGCCTGCGGCCATCTCCTCAACACTGCTCACCTAAATTGATGATCTTGCTTAATTTTCAATTCGCCTTCAAAGCCCCATCGCTCAAAGGGATTCCTTTTGCCCATATAGGGATTCAGCAAATTTCAGTTGAATTCTTAGTACTTTACCTTGATTTCTCTTTTCTCCCTTTCTGTTATGGTACAGAACCAGAGTCGCAGCAATATGAGAATGTTGCAAACTCAAAATATGGGTTAATCGCATCAAACAATCAATGGAACAGTGAATTTGGAGATTAAAAGATGGACTCAACTTTCATTAATGAACTTCAATATTAGGTTACAAGAACAGAGAATACGAATTCAGTGAGGAAGGGGAAAGAAATTGAAGGAAAACTTGGGAGGAGGGATTGAGATTGGTGGCCCAAATCTCTTACAATCAAAGCTGGAAAATAATGACAAAAGCTACTCTATACCGCAGACATGCCTGCTTATATCACTATCTGTGCTAACAAGCTTTCAACTAAACCAATGAACTCTAAACACGTGTCCTTTCATAGCTACAAGTGGCAATGGTCCTCAGTTTCTGTTCGAAGCAGATGAAACCCAGCAAAGGCGTGGTTTGTGGGCACGCCTTCGATGACTCACTTATGCAAAACTTCACGCTTTCAGCTTCTGACATCACGACTTCTTCATTTCTGCTTCTTAGTTCATTTCTTCAGTTCCAATCTAACCTTTTAGCTCCATCACAATTTCATGTTTGTTCAGGGTTCCGACGGCTCTTTTGAAATTCACTAGGGCAGCAGCTTTGATTTCGATGGGCTTTGATTTTCTCCGGGCGCTGTTATGATTCACGCTACAACCATAGGCAGTGCAAGTGTGATGGCACATCGACACTCTTGCTGTCTCCATGATTATCATCGGTATTGATCCTAAAGTTACAGTCTTCTTTGTTTTCCTTTTTCCGCCGTCATTTTGTGGCTTTTTTATTATTTTTAATGGGTTTCCATTTTTCAATTTCATCTAGGGTTTAAATTACTGATAAATTTTTTATTATTAAAAGAGTAGGTTGACTGGAATGAATCCATCATCTCATAAATAGTTCCTCTTCAGATTTGGATGCCATACTATATGTAGTTTTCTTCTGGTATCAATCTAAATTTTTTGTTTTTGATTCTATTTGATCCACGTTTAACTACTTGCTGCTGAGAGTATGAAAATGCAATTTTAATTTAGAGGAATTTACTTTCATTTGGTGATGCAATGATTCTTAGGAATGTGCTATTGGTACATACAAAGATGTTGAAGGATCTGATGAAAATCTCTGCAAACCTTGTTCCCTTGACTGCCTTCCTAGTCATGCATTTTTTATCTATGTATGAGGTGATGTAATGCAACGAGCTTTAATTTTCTTAGAAGTCCATTTCTCAATTATCTGCTTCATTATTGGACATGATAGATCTAACTTTATTTTGGGTATGATTTGCTACAGGGGATGTTACCAAATCAGTTTGTCCCTACAAATGTATATCCAAAAGGTACAGAATGCCCAACTGCTATACCTCTTTTGACGAGTTGATACATACACTTGAAGGTCCCTGGCCATTCTCACTCTTATCAGCATGTTTTGCACTCCTTCTAGCTCTAGTATTGAGCACTTTGAGGATCAAATTGATTGGGTTGGGATGTTCACATATCAATGTGAATTCAACTGAGCTCCAAAATCATCATCATTCTCCTTATCTTCTCACTTTATCTGACGTATGGTCTTCATTAACTTTTCGGTTCTAGGATGCATCTATGTAGTATTGCCAAATTGGCAATTTTTATTTTTACAGTAATTTATTTGCATAACATCTAGGTCTGTGGTGCCAGAGCCGAAGAAACTCAGAGCCATGTCCACATGATGTATTTTTATGGTCCCAATACTTTTAGATAACCGTATAATCTTCCCTATTTGCCTCCCAACGCAATTGTTGAGATTGTGTAAACATTCACATGTAATTTGAAGTTTTTGGGCAGTAGGCCAGGGTTTAGAAGAAAAAAACTTGTTCACCTTGGAACCTTTTATGTAGGAGTTTAATTTATTAGTTCTTTTGTCATCTTTGATTACGAGACAATTTTGAATGCTGTACATATTTTTCCTTGCCATTTTAAAACACTGTGCTTAAGTTTATGATTATTTAGTATCTTTTGAGTTTTACACCTGAAAGTTATTACTCTTTCTTCTTATTCATTAATTTTTATTCCACAAAGATACATAAGTTAATCTTTGATCCATTTTACTGAGTCAGAATTTCGACTTCTTTTCCAATGAACTGTACTTGGTTGAGGCTCACTTAGCTTCAACTTTCTGGTCTGATACAGCGAGAATATGAGAGTTTTTCTAAACAAAATTTTACTTCATTTGCAAAATTTTCAAGGTTACTCATTTGTTAATGGTGCTTAACGGCAGGTATGAAGGTGCTTTGAACAGATTTATAGACGAGATCAACTCCGTTGCAGCATATGAACGGTGGGAAGGATCAGTGCATAGCACATGCTTGCTTAATCTTGTTCCTGGTCCCGGAAACAATGGCGTTGGAGTAATAAAGTTCACCATTGTCAGGATTATGGTTAGTCTGAGTATGACCATTCTTGTATATGATCCTGCAGATCGCGAGCATTATACAAAGGAATGAAGGTTTGACTTTGTTGCTAAGAGTGAAACTCTTTGGCCCTGTGGAAATCTGATCAAAATTTTGTGGCTCAGGAATTTGCAGCCTAATACTTCTTTTATGCCCTGCAAGACAATGATGCTAGTATGAATTTGGTGTATTTAGTTCAATAGAGTATTTTCTTACGTTGATATGGCCTATTAATTCGGTGTATTGAATTAAAATAGCTTTAAAAAGTTTATTTATGTAATAAAAGTTGTTTAATTAAGAATTTTATCTCCATATCAGTAGCCAATTGCTTGATTACATATTTGCTAAAGTTGTAAATTAACCAATGTCTGGGCATGCTCATGCGTTGCATTAGGGCTCACACAAGTATTCTAGTCCAAAGAGCAAAGAATCTGAGTTTATCTACAAAGGCGCTGGAATTGGATGAGAAGTTGGAAGAGGAGAATTTGACGATTCTACTCTTCAAACAGGGCCAATTCCAACCTTCAAGCAGTAAATTAGCCAACAAAGTCCAATATCATCTTTCTTTGCCCTTTTTTGATTTCCTTCCTCTTATACTCTATCTTGCTTAAAGCTGATGTGAAGGAATTGCATGTTTTCAGATGTATTATGCGTTTAGTCATAGATAGTGTTATAAGTTTATACCTAGCAATGTAATTTCTGTTCTTTTTTCTATTCTATTGTTTGCCTTTTATGGTCACTTGAGCGAACCTTTCCTTGCCAGACACGTGTCTGTTAAGCATCTTTGGCACTTTTGTTTTGAGGTATCGTGAGCTCTAACAAGTCGCTCTTGCTTTAATTGTAAGACCCTTCTGCTTTATTACTCTCATGACTGCTGTGTAAGCTTGTTTCATGTGTTCACGTGACATGGTGCATATGTCTTTTTGTTTCGTTTTTCTTTTTCAATTATCCTTAGTAATGGATGAGTTTTTCTATGTATTTCTCTGTAGAAGATCAAGATGTTTTAGGTTGTCAATTAATCTTTTGTACTTAATCTAATTGCTACGACATCTCTTGTCCAAAGTATGTTGTTACTTTTTGTCTTATTTGTCCATTTGTGGATTTCCAGCTCCGCAAAAGAGTGTTTTAAGTTTCTCACTAGATACCTCGCAACATTTTCTGATGAAGATGCATATGCTATGAATGAAGCAAAGGACGAAGCAGTCCGTGCTACAGTTGATTTTCTGAAGGCACCTGGCATGTTTCAGGTATCGCTTGTCTGTCTCTTTGAATTGCATATAAAATGGTTATGAGGAGCCTCAAGGCTTGGTTGAATCTGATTATTCATTTCCAAATGTTACATTAAATTTTTCCTTGCTATAATTTTGAGCTAAAGTGTGACATATATGCTATTGTACTTCATTATCAGTATGGTATATTGGAACTTATTTGTGTGATGTGTCACAACGTTGTGGAGTCATTTGTACCTTGGAATGCGAAGAAACCTACAACTCATCAATCAAGTTAGATTTTGTTCTTGTTGTCTTGGATTATAGTAGTTGTACTTCTACTTCCATATTTATTTGAATAGCTGATAGATAGACGAACTCGTGAGATGGTATGTCTTCTTGGAATATAGCTATATGTCGACCTTGTAGAAGGTGAAAAGCTGTATGTATTACATAATTTACTTTGTGACTTCTTGTTTTCAAAGACTGGTACTGGTGCTGGTGCACCTGGAAGTTGCTTGTGTTATTATGTTTTTGATAATATTTCACTCTTGCTATATGGATAATGATTCTTTTATGCGTGTTCTTGCTAGTGGGACTACTATGTAAGCCTGCTGTGGCACAGTTAGAGAAGGATGCTAAACATGCATTGGTATATCAGCTCCTGAAGATCTTCTTGACTCAAGGTTGATGCTTACTCGGATTTTCCTTGTTTCATTGCTGCTGAAAAGCCATTGACCACTTAGTTTCCTCGACAAAATTTCTTTCTTTCGTTGTAGTTTATGTCATTTTTTGGGATAGATATTTTCAGATGAATCTTAGTAGTGATAGCTTAATTGCTAAAGTACACAAATACAACACTCAATTTTCACTGGGGATACCAGATTGCAATACTTATTTAGAAGTTCTTTACAATGATGCATTGGATTGTAAGTTTTTTTCTTTTTTTTTGGTGTGTTCCTAACTCATCTGGAAAATATCTCAAATATGAGGGTGTTCCTTATTCTTTTTAGTCCATTTGGTTTTAGATTAGTCAAAATTTATAATCAATCTGTCATTTTCCTAGTATATTTATTCAAATGGCCAAAATAAGAAATTTGAAATTTATAACCAATTTGTTAACGATCTAATCTATTCAATCAAATGGCGAAAACGAGCAATTTAATGTATTCTTGCTCGTTTTTCCATGGCCAAGAGTGAAATTGGAAAAAACTGCAAACTTAGATGTAAAAAAATGCGATGAATCAATTTGATGTATTTTAAATGGAAAATTTTGATTTGCTAGAGATAAAGG